AAAAAAAAGAAATGTCTTGTCTGCCCTGCTGTTGATGAATAAATTAATTAATTGATTGATTGATTGATTGATTGATTGATTATTAATTTACTTGTACATACTCTTCTCGTGTTTTGAAGTGTGGATGGAATCGGATGGATCGATCATCTGCAGTGGTTATTGTTGCGCTAGGTTCCATTCTCGGCCGGTCGGTCGAATTTTACTTGATTAATTAGGGCCCCTCCCCCGCTGTTGATTATCGTGTTTGTCACCCACCCGTGTCCGCCTTAAATTTTTTTTTCCAGAAGTCGGGATATAATATACTTGATTCCCCAAACCTTTCATCAAATCAAAAACAACAACAACGACAAGATGGCCGAGTGGTTAAGGCGTGTGACTCAAGCGAAAGCTTTCCTTTACTCATCAAAGGACGTATTCTCATCAACTTTGTTGGCGGGGGTTCGAATCCCCCTCTTGTCAATATCTGGTGTCTGTTTCTTTTTGCCCTTTTTTTATTTTGTTTGAGGGAGAGATAGATGAGTAGACACGTCTTTTTCTTTAAAGGCAATTAGTTAAGGGATCTTTGGAGGGGGTTATATGGACTGCACTGTTCTTCTTCGCATGTATGTTACATGGAGTAGCAGATAGAGTGGCAATGGTAGTGTCGAGGCCTGTCGATTTTCTCACCTACTCGCCCAACGCGCCAAGGTGTTCCATATGTACTACGTCTCTGGTGTTTACGAGGGGGTGAACGAATGTAGTAAACAGTCTTCTCAAGGGCTCTACAACTCGAATTCACAATGGTTACATGCTTCTCAGACCTCGAGCAAGCACTGCCCTATCGTTGTACCATCTGAGCCGCGCGTCGATTGGAATTAGATTAATAAAGTAGGAAGCGGCTCTTCCCTGGAAAGTGGTGGAAAAGGATGATGTCGAAATGATTAGCCCGTGTAAGAGAGACTCGAGGGAACGAGTTGACATGGTGAATGACTTTAAATACTCGTGGAATGGCTGATACCGTGTCCGCAATTTGATCCGACTTTGCGAGGTATAAAGCCGTTGCCAACGAGTTTGTAGACGGAAATGAAGGAGATTGTCCATGTTATGCTAAAGGCAAATAAACAACGGGTGCCTGCGGAGAGGAGAATTAAGATACGACATGCTGTACATATGACAGGAAACTGTCAGGCTATGAATTGTGTATTATGCAGGCTATTCACGTGTACGTGTCAGAGGGATAGTCGTATCGACTAATACCTACTGTATACACTGCGAGTAAGGTCGCGGGGCCCGTGATTCCTAGATTGACAGCGTTAATCCGCTGTAGGCAAACACAGTATTAATCTACGCGGAGATCATCGCGAGCCCACAAAAACAGTTTTAAGCATATCTACAAGGCACACGCCATCCTCTTCATGTCTTGCTTTCAGGGGGGAGGGGAGGTTTGAAACAAAGAACAGCGTCGCAGGGCGGCACCATCCCCTCAATGCATCGTAGCAGCCCCCGGGTGGACGGGCCGTCGGCGGTGCGATTGCGGTGCTTGCTTGTGGCGCGCATATTCCAAGGTGCTGAGACACATTTGTGCGAGATCTGATTAGGCACGAGTGTGTGAGGAGTATGTACGATGTTAGTACATGTTGGTTGGTTACATATGTACATACTGTACATACTAGTGAAGCGTCAGATTTGTTTAAGTTGCGCGTTCAATATATTTAGGACCCCTGATTCGTTTGTTGGGCTAATTATTAGCTTCCAGGGCTGAGATGGGATGGGCTGCCGCAGCGGCAAGACTTTTTCTATCACAACGGCACCTGGTTCGCACGCATCCATCACACTATCAAACTCTCTTTCTCTCTCTCCCTCTCTCCCTCTCTCTCTCTCTTTCTCTAAATTCCTCCCTGACACATCCGTCCCCGTCCCCGTCCCCGTTTCCGCCACACCTTCCGCCACACCTTCATCTGTCCATTGGTCCAATTGCGCCAGCAACCGTCCCGAGAGCTGTCACCGACTGACCCTACGCACGCTCTCGGTGGTGTTGCGGCGTTCCCCATACTGACTCTTTGTCCACGGCTCCTGATCTGATCCAGCAGCATACATCGGCAGCATAGCACCGCTTTCCCCCCCTCCCCCCCCTCCCCCCCAAGGAGTCCCAAGGAGTCCTACGCACATAGCACCCCTTCCGCTGTCGAATCGAGTGCATCGCCCCGCCCCGCCGCAGCAGTTGCGTGCGACAACCCAAAGTCGAACGCGTCCGCTCGTGATGCTCGCGCACCTACACCATCTTGGATAGCGCATCACGTTGGAGACACCACACTCGTGCAATGCCTGGCTGGCGGCCACTCCCGCGGATTGCCTTCGCCGTCTGCGTCTATCCCTTTCAACCCTCTTCGCCTGCAGACCTGCCCCTCGAAATCGGTGATGAGCTCTACATAATCGAGCAGGGAGGGAAAGATGGCGCGTGGTATCGTGGATATCTGGTTGCGCCGCCCTCTCTGCTGGCCGGTCTGACCAGCATCAAGGGCCAGACCCTCGAGGCACGCGTCTTCTCGGGTATCTTCCCACGGTGCTGTGTCGAGGTGCGCGAGGTCTTGGGCGAGGGCAAACAAGCCGGTATCGTTTTGGACGGCCATGAGAAGCTTCCTAATTCACATGGTAGCCATGGCGAGCATGGCACCAATGGTGTAATCACTCCTACAGATAGCACAAGTGCTACATCTACGCATGCAAAAGGCTCCGCTGCCCACGCCAGAAGAACCTCCAGATCCGACCAAGTCTCGGCCCTTCACTCCTCCACATCGCGCCCGCTCTCCGGACAACGGTCGAACAAGAAGCGCACAGGAAGCCTTGGATCACAGTGGACTGCTCGCTCCGATCATCTCCAGCAGCTCATGCTGCCTCTCTCCCCCGTCTCCCAGACGTCACACGATCCTACCGCACCGCGCCCACCTGCGCCAGTACCCATGCTGAAAATTGGAGATGAGACGCCAACATCTGCCCAGGAGCCATTGGTCGACGAGATTGCGTCCTGCTTGCGGGAATGGCATTCTACAAAGCTACATGAGTTGCTGTTGGCAAGGCGGTACAGCTCGTTGGACAAAATGTCGGCGCTAGTCCAGAGGTTGGACACGGCACGACGTCAGCTGCTACACAAGGTTTTGACCGCGAAAGAATTGGAAAAAGTACGCGAACGTACCGTCTGGGATCTTGTGGCGGGGAACAAGATGCTCTGTGGAGAAGTGATTGTGCGAAGCCCCTCCCAGCGTGGCCGGATATTGACCTGCGATGACTCGGCCATCGAAATCACGAAGCTACAATCCATGATGAGCTTGCTGGACGGACGACCCGTCCCTCACCTCGATGAGCACAACCTGCACCACCTGTTTGTCAATCTGAAGCAGATTGTGGGTGACGCTGTACAGGGTGCTGCTCAAGTGAGTATGCATCTGTGCTCAAAAGTACCCGGCTCGGCCTTGAAGCCCTTATCAGAAGTGTATTCTTTCGACCTGACTTCTCGAGACGGAGCTGCTGTTTCACTAACCGGGGAGAAGCTGAAGTCGTTATTCGTGGACTTTAGTTCAACGGACATCGGCGAAGGAGCGGGATCGGGATCTAGTCTTTATCTTGTCTTCAAATTACTCTGCAACGAACCATTTCGAACAGGGGCGACGAACCAGGGACAGAACACGACACTCCGAGAGAGCAGTTCCAACAATGCTCCTGCTGCATTGCAATCATCCCAATTTGGAAGCATCAAAGGTGGGAGACGTAGCGTGATGTTTGGCGCGAAACGCAAAGCATCGAACCAATCTAATTTGAGTGCGGCAGAAGCGCGACCGGCGAGCGTTGATCCGAAACCCCAAAACAACGACGGACGACCGGATTCCTCAGCGGCGAAAATAAGGTCATCCTCGAGAGATCAGAAGACGATAAAGAGAGTTGTAGCTGCCGGCGTTGTTCGGGTGGATGCCCTGATGCGAGCTCAATCCGAAGCGGACCAAACGATTATATTGTGGTCCCCTCCCACACCGTCCGACGAACCTTCGGAAGAAGATATTGGCTGGGATGACATGTTGAGCGAGGTTTTCCCCAGCCCAACTGGAAAGTACAAGAAGAATGCCCATATCAGCCGAATTACCGTCCATCTTAAAGCATTCGCGAATGCCGATGCTGAGAAATTGGTCGAGGCAACACCAACACTACTCCACAACATCAAACAAACACGGAAGATCGGCTTCTCTGGCGCACCAACCAAACCTCGGAGCGATATCTACCTCACACTCGTTGAGCCCTTTCTGCCCAAGAATGCATTCCTAGCCCATCCCAAATCTGGGACTGTTCCTCTTGCGCAGACATCCCCCATGGGCAATCTTCAATTGACTATCGAGGTCCGCAAATCTAACGGAGAGCGTATAGAGGGTTGTATACATCCATCGAGTAATAGCGCAGGACATACTGCATGGCGAACGACTGCAGTGGAAAGGGGGGAGGGTTGGAATCTGACAGTTCGACTTGCCATCAACACGGAGGACGTTCCTGGATCACACATTGTCATGAGCGTTGCTGATGCCCCTGGATTTCCTTTCGCCTTGTGCTGGATGCCACTTTGGAATCAGGATGCTTTTATTCGAGACGGCGAGCATTCCCTATCACTTTACAGATATGATGAGTACACTTCCAGCATGATTGCCGGCAAGGGGGCTTATCTTGGTCTGCAGTGGAGTGCACGGAAAAAGGACGAACAAGTCATGGGGCCAATGTCGGCTTTGCACCTCAGAACGTATCTCTGCAGCACCAAGTACTCACAAGACCCGAACTTGATTGGGCTCCTGAAATGGCGGGATCAGGCGGCAGGCGAGTTGGTTGGATTGCTGCGAAGGTTTCCATTTGTACCGGAGATCGAGATTGTAAAACTTCTCAACGAGGTTTTCGATGCCCTTTTCCAAATCTTGGTCGAGTACGCTGGCAGCGATGAATATGAAGACCTTATTTTCAATGCACTCGTCATTGTCTTGGGTATTGTTCACGACAGACGCTTCAAACTAGGCCCATTGGTGGACCAATACGCTGAACGGAGGTTCAACTACCCCTTCGCCACATCCTGCCTCGTCCGAAGTTACACCCGATTATTGGCCAACCCAGTAGAACCAGAGTTTTCACGACGCTTGCGAGCTACTTTCAAGGTTGGAAAACATGTCCTCAAATTCATCATGAATGCTCGGCAACAACAAATGGAGAAGGAAGCGGGGATTGGTATTACAAGCCGACAACCAACCTTTACGAAAGACTTGCAAACCATTTTCAAATCGCTCGAAGCCCTGATGAAGAACACATCCCCAGTGCTCATTGGAACCAAGACTATTCTAGTCCAAAATTTCCACACATGGCTTCCTGAACTATCGCCGTCAATGACTCCAATGGAGATCCTAAAATTGTCCTCGAGATTCGTTGACTCGTGCTCTGCTGCACAGGGGAAGCTGATT